CAAATACACACATACACACAAACGCATACAAACTCACACTACTCACACACACATACACACACACACACACACACACACACACACACACACACACTCACACACACACACACACACACACACACACACAAGCGTCACACACCATGTAAAGAACGTGTAATGTGTAGTTGCTTATTTAATCCTTAATTTTAAAAAAATAACGCTATTGCTTAATGTGTTTTGGGAATGTGTTCCTCTGAACCTACACATTTATTAAACGTCTCTATACATTGGCAGCTGGTGTTTTTATGCATTAAACAAGTTATTTATCATGGTTGAGTGCAAACGCACAGGCTTCGTCAATTGATTGACAGGAAAGGGGGGGGGGGTCCTTTTATTTTCTTTCTCTCTTTTTATTTACTGTCGAACTAGCTTTAAGGTAGGTCACCCCTCTGCGATAGTTACGTGAACACACGGCCACCCTGGCTCTCCTTCTTCCCTACTTTTGCAAATTTGAAAGCGATATAATGGTACTGTGTAAGAAGGTCACCTGTCTAAAAGGGCCACCATTACTTCTCGGCCTTCTGGCTTAGGTCAAAGTGTAGTACATGTATTTTATACTATTTGTTTCCGACTTTTCGGCTTTGCGCTTGAGTGCAAAGTGGGACACACTACCGAAGTTGTTGAGGCTTTAATTAGGCTCAGTTTTTTTTAACCCCTTGCCCATTTATATGCGACTCGCGCCATCTGATTATCAGAAAAAGTGCGTATGATAGTGTCCTATAGAGTGCATGTATTACGTGCATACTTAGTATGAAATATTACTGTTACAGATAGAGGTTCAAGGATTATAGATGCAGGTCGTTCATCTGAGAGCAATGATGATTTTAGCAATGATGGTGGTGATGAGTGATGATGTGGGATTGCGTTTAAGTAATGTTACCGTTAGTCCTATCTTTCTCTGCTCCAACGAGTCACGAGGGACGTAGGCACCCTCTATCCCCCGTTCCTTCTGGAACCATCTTTACTGTCACTGTGCGTGAAGTTCCGAGGCTCAGTTATACCTTTCTCCCTTTTTTGTGTTTGTTACTCCCTCGTAACACCTCTAATCTTCTGCACTTATTTGACCTTATTGTGTTGCAAGTGCCGTAAAACTCTTACTAAAAACTTATTAAAAAACACATTTCTCCTTGACTATGGCTGCCGGCTGTCTCAGAGAATTTGGACTGTATTTATTATTTCTTTTTCGGTGTTTGTGTGTGTGTGTGTGTGTGTGTGTGTGTGTGTGTGTGTGCGCGCGTGCGTGTTTGTGTGTGTGTAGGGGAGAGGGGCTGGATTAGCAAGCATTTTTGCCTGACTGCGCCGTAGGTGGACGAGATGCTCAATCAGGAAACATGGGTTGTTGGTGGGTGCTCTGGTGTGGTTAGTTTGCTCCTTCTTCCATATATCAGACATCTATAATTGTCCTTTTCTGTCCTCTTTTTTGTGTTTGTTACTCTCTTGTATCACCTCAAATCTTCGGCACTTATATGACCTAATTGTGTTGTGAACGCCGTGTTAAACTCTTACTAAAAATCCCGCCTCTATAAATGATCTAAGGTGTATCAACAGGGGCATAAAACACTTTCATCTAACACAAACACACGAACCAAAAAAAAACAACCCAGAAAAACAAACAAAACAACAAAAACAAAATAAAAACGAAAAAACGATGGGCTTTACGATGTTCTTTCTTCTTTCTATTTCAGCACGCGTTGACCAGACTCCCAGCCAACCACCACCACCACCACCACCACCAACAACAACAACAACGATAATTCAGCAAACATGAACAGTCAAGCTCCCGCCAAATGCCCTGTGACCAACGGTCAAGCGGCCAGCCCGTTCCGTGAGTGGCGCCGGCCCGATCTGCCCAACAAGTGTACCTTCACAGTGGACACACCCATCGAGAAGTCTCCGCACAGGCACTTCAGGATGTGAGTTCTGTGTGGTTGTTGTTGTTGTTGTTGTTGTTGTTGTTGCTGTTGTTGCTGTAGTTGCCGTTGTTATTGGTGTTGCTGTTGTTGTTGTTGTTGGTGGTGGTGGTGGTGGCGTGGTGGTTGTTGGTTATGTTGGTGGTGATGTTGTTGATGTCTTGTTGCTGTTGTTGGTGGTGTTGTTGTCAGTGGTGTTGTTGTTGGTGGCAGTGATGGTGTTGTTGTTGTTGGTGTTGTTGTTGTTAGTGGTGTTGTTGTTGGTGGTGTTGTTATTGGGGGTAGTGATGGTGTTGTTGTTGTTGGTCTTGTTGTTGTTGGTGGTAGTGATGGTGTTGTTGTTGTTGGTGTAGTTGTTGTTAGTGATGTTGTTGTTGTTGGTGGTGTTGTTATTGGTGGTAGTGATGGTGTTGTCGTTGTTGGTGTTGTTGTTGTTGGTGGTGGTGATGTTGTTATTGGTGGTGTTGTTGTTGGTGGTAGTGATGGTGTTGTTGTTGTTGTCGACCCGACCTGCCCAACAAGTGTACCTTCACACTGGACACGCCCATCGAGAAGTCTCCGCACAGGCACTTCAGGCTGGGAGTTGTTGTTGTTGCTGTTGTTGTTGGTGGTGGTAGTGATGAGTGTACCAATGGAGAAGAGTAAACATATTTTTCACACATATATATATTTATAT